GGATCAGAGAGAGTCTCTTCTCTGATCTGTTCTCTGACTTCAGGAACTCTTGGATCTCCTGATGAACTGAGTGATCCTTCATCTCCATCAGACAGTGGAAGATGTTGATGCTTCTGTCAGGAGAGATATCATCAGTGCTCATCTTCTTCAGGTTGTTGATGGCTCTCTGGATGGTTTCTGGACTGTTCTCTGTCTGACCCAGCAGACCTCCTAAGAGTCTCTGGTTGGACTCCAGAGAGAGGCCATGAAGGAAGCGAACAAACAGGTCCAGGTGACCGTTTTTACTTCTGAAGGATTTCTCCATGGCTCCTTGCAGGAGGACATCAGGCGATGGGTCAATATAGTCTTTCTCCAGGAAGTTCTCCAGGACCTCTGTCTTCCTGTTGGTGTAACAGTGGAACATGTAGACTGCAGCCAGAAACTCCTGAACGCTCAGATGAACAAAGCAGTAGACTGTTTTCTGGAAGATCACACTCTCTCTTCTGAAGATCTCAGTACAAAGTCCTGAGTACACCGAGGCCTCTGTGACATCGAGACCACACTGCTCCAGGTCTTCTTGGTAGAACATGATGTTTCCTTTCTCCAGATGTTCAAACGCCAGCCTCCCCAGCTTCAGAAGAACTTCCCCGTCAGCCTCCAGAGTGAAAGACGGTTAATACGCAAACATGAGGTGATTCAGTTGGAGGACCTAACCACTCATGTACGTCTGCTCCAAATCAGGTGGGCCACGACAGTAGACAATAGTATCATTTAAGAGTCTCACTGACCAAGCCAGAGACTCCAGCAATAAGAGTTGGTTCTGAATCCAAACCGAGGTCAGTTGCATGGCCTGTTGGAAAAACTTTCTAGTGCAGCAAGTTTCTCCTCCTGGAATGGCAGAGGGCTTGGAGGAAAACCCAAGATAGTAAGCTCTGCTTGGTTTCTGTCTTTTCACGATCAAGCGCAACAGTGCATAAGACAGATGGTAGCTGAATAACCTGACCCTCAAGAGAATCAGCAGTGAGTCACGGAACTTCTTCAGGCTGCGCTCACATGTTTGTTCCATCCAACATTGACAAGAAGTGTCAAACAGCAAGAGCAGTAGCCTCGACTGTCTGATAAAAGGTCTCTGGGTTTCACTGTCGCATTTTCTTGTGAGAGCGGCCTGGGATGAAGGCCAGAACTCGTCACTAGTGCGGGCATTTCACAAACAACAAGTGAGCGCGGTTAGTGTCTGAATGTCAGCACGCACAAGTGAGCTTCACTCAGTTCAACCGTGCTGCTATGACCGAAGCTCAATCAGCGGTGGGAATTCCTGCATTCATGCTCTCGGTCTTGGATAAACTTCCAGACGCTGCGGTCTGGCCAACGTCAGGATCCCTCCTTACTTGTTCGTGGGCAGCAGGGTAACAAGATGATGTAACTGAGGCCTTCTCATAGAGCGCCAGAAGGAGGAATATCTATCTAGTAGAGAGGAGAAGTCCGGAGTGCATGATAGAGCTGTTGTTCCATTGAAGACACGAATCATCTCGCACACATCAAAGACGTCAGGACTCCCACGCATCAATGTCCACAGTCCCAGTCTTCTGACCTTGATCGACTGCTACAGTTTCTGGAGCACATGTTTGGACCACAGACCAGAGAGGAAGAGGCTGCCACAGACGCTGACTGAACGTTTTCGACGACTTACCGCTGGGTTCAGACACAGAGGAAGAAGAACAAGTACCATGAAGGGAGTGAGACGAGTCACAGGAGCTGAAC